CCCCCCCCCCCCCCCCCACGCCCACCGCTCCCGCCGCCCACACCAGAAACTCACCACGCCTCCCGGACCTCACGCCCCCGCTCCCGTCCCGGCTCCCTTCCATGGCCCCTCGCCTTCACCTGCAGCCAACCCCGTCCCTTCAGATCAGAAAGTATTTAGAGGGTTCCAATGCATGCCCACACCCCCCCGCGCCCACCGCCCACACGTCCTTTCCACTCTCCCTTCCTCTCCACTCACCCCCCCTCGGCCCGTCTCCCCTTCTTCCCCACTCCCCATCCCCTCCCCGCTTGCCCGGCTCCTAAAATATGTTTGCAATGCCGAAACCCCTGATCCGACATAATAGTCTACTCCTGTTCCTCGCGCCACCCTGCGACACCTCTGCAGCGCCCGCTACACCCTCAACCCTAACCACGCTAGACAAGCCCAGTACCCTGCACGACCAACACGCTCGCGACCATTGCGTACTCTTGGGGGGTCGGCCGCACTGGCGGCAGCCATTAAATACACATACATATGTACTGTACACTGTACAGGTATACTGTAGACAGCATACTCTCCATTTATATATGTATATAGTATATACATATGCACACACGCACGTTTATGTCATTGCATTCAAATATGTGCTCGAGACAGTGGTCTCCGACAAAATTCCGTCTGGACAGGTCGATGAAACTTGTGCCAGCTGTTCGTACTCTGCTTTAAGCAGCCCTTCCCCCTTTCTGAGTGATTGGTGTACTGTGGCTCGGTACCGAAACGCATCCCACTCAAAAAATGCAAAGGTTGCTGAAACCTGGCATTCTCCGGCAGCTTCTTTTGTTTTTTCAATGCCTTACAACTCCTTCGGTCAAGGTTCCCCAAGGCCTGGGAAGGGCAGGGCGGACAGCTTCGCGTGGCGGACGGCTGCGGACCGGCCATGGACTGCATGGGACCTGGGACTCCGTCGTAAGTGCCTATGAAAATGCTGCATGGTCACATATGAAGATGAGACCAAGATATAAGACGTGTAGCTAGTCTGTTACACGATTCTGAGCACGTTTGCAGCTGCAGCCAGCTCTTACATGTCTGTGTGACTAGTGTGGAAGCAGGAGCGACGGGCCTTCACATGCCAAGCGGAGCCCACGACTGCAGAGCACCTCACCGACCTGTTGGCCAGCACCGCCAGCGCCGCTGGCACAGTCGTCACAACCAGACATATCCCAATTTGAAACGTACCACGATGGCTGAGCCAGCGTGTAGTCATCGAGCATCATCACATCCGTGACCGAGGAGGCAGCAGAGATGCTGCCATTTGTCTGGTTGGAGACGTCAAGCTCCTCCAGGAGGGCAGCCTCAAACACGGCCATTTTGGGAACCTTATATAGGACAGGACGGTGTCAAATGGTCTCAAGCAGCACCTGCGTACAATCGCAGGGCTAACATGCTCGAAACGGACAGGTGTTTTGCCACCGGGACTCGGAAGACAGGTCTGCAAGCTCCTGGCGCAAAAGCTGCAAAAGCAAAGTCCCAGCGGGATTGCTCTCAGCTGCAAGGCGACCTGAGCAGCCTGCTCCATCGCAGCTCGGGATACATTCACCTTGAACGACCACAAACACCCCACAAACAACATTTCCCTTTTCTCGCTCCCAGAACATGCACGTGCACGCCTAGCCTGCAGCAGCATCGTAAGACGAACTGTGAAGGCCACGTGCAACAATGAGAGCAGCAGTCGACGTGCCGACCCGCGCGCTTGGAGAAGTTCGATGCCTTGGCCATTGCCACAGCACAAGCACACCCAAAGCAAAACTAATGGTCAAACATGGGATCACTAGGTCAACCGAGCTCTGTGGCTCCGGTCAGCTATCGGCTCCACACAGCAAACCATAATATGTTTTAGGTGCACCACTACGTTTGAGCTGCAAACACTTCAAGATGCCAAGATCCGCCTTCTGTGTGAAGATTTCATCCAAGTTGCGCAGTTCTGCTGGATGCACCCCGAGCGTTTTGGCAAATGCCCAATACAAAGCTGTTTCATGTGCTCGCGCCCAGTAATAGCCATCGCCTTGGAACTGCAGGGCTGCTCTCGGTCCACCTCCTCAGAAAGAAGGCTAAACGGCTAGTCAATATCTCCATGTGCAGGGTGCTGAAGTTGCTAAGCTCCGGAAGGTCCAGGGAGACATCAAGCAGGACTTGGGCCGCACCCGATTGCGTGACATTCGTACCCTCTGGTGTGCATTCGCCTCGGAAATGCTTTCTGAGTCTGCTTCGCGACCATCGCCGACCGCTAAATTTCCGTATTATCTGAGGGTACGAATACAATCACTCTCGCTATCTTACTATGCAACAGACATGCGCATTACCCGGCCTCGGATTCGCCAGCGTCCCTCATGACAAAGTGCAAGGACGACATCCTCGCAGAAATTCCACTTGCTTGAGGGTTGGGAGTAGCTGCCTGTGACGGCATGGAACCCGCGCGCGCGCACCTATTTCCACTCCGTTCCGATTTATCCTTCGGGAATCCTTCGGGCCCAAGCTCAGATCCAAATAAGGCGGGTTCAAAGTACACAAAGTCAAGAAATGCAGATGCAGGAAAACACTGTGAAACCATTGGAAATCGCGAGCGGCTACCTTTGCAACTTCTTGCAACCATGGATCTGCAAGTCCGGGTCTGGTGAATCCATCAGAGCACTCCACATCGCAGACGCCATTGTGAGGTGTTCCAGCGCAGTGACCCAAACTGGCGCTGTTTGCAATCCTGAGAAAATTGCACATTTGCAAAGAGACAGCTTGTCGACTGTCCTGATTTGGATCCAAGCAGCATGGGTGACTCCGGGCAGAAACGCCCCGTGATGTTGACAGCGGGGCTACCAGTGCTCGTCGCGGTGCTGGTGTCAGTGCCAGTGGAGGTCACAGCCGTAGCCGTCAAGGTTTCAGTGGTGACGGTGCCTGTGGCAGTGCCAGTAGCTGTTTTGGTGATTGTTTCGGTAACGGTTACACTTGTAGCCGTAAAGGTGGTGGAAGCAGGAAGCGTTGTCAGCGTAGTGGTGCTGATGGAGGTAGCCGTAAAGGTGGTGGAAGCAGTAAGCGTTGTCAGCGTAGTGGTGCTGATGGAGGTAGCCGTAAAGGTGGTGGAAGCAGTAAGCGTTGTCAGTGTAGTGGTGCTGATGGAGGTGGTGGCAGAGGTTCGCGTCAAGGACGTGGTAACGCTGGTATGAGTGGTTGATACGGCTGTTCGAGTCTGAGTGATGGAAGCTGTCGCACTCGTCGTAGTTTTGCTCGTAGTGATGGACCTGGTGCTGCTGGTAACTGTTGCAGTTGTGTATGTGGTGGTTGCAGTTGTGTAGGTGCCGGTACCTGTAGTTGTAGTAGTGCGGGTGGAAGCAGTGTAGGTCGCTGTGATGGTGGAACTTCGAGTGGTTGTCACCGCAGTCGTTGTCACTGTGTTCGTTGCACTCGAACTTGTCATGCTTGTTGAAACTGTAGACTGAGTGGTTGTCAATGTCGAAGATTGAGTGGCTGTCAAGGTCGTAGACTGAGTCTGAGTGGTTGTCAAGGTCGTGGATGTGACAACTGCCATCGTAGTCGTTGTAGTCCCCAGCTCGCAGGCTGACTCGAACATACATTTGATAGACGTCAGTCCCACATCCAGGTCCCCATCACCGACACAAGTATTCCCCGTAGGGTAATTCCAGTCAATGGTTTCACCCACCGCGTAGGCGGCGTGGTTGAAGCTGCAATCAAAGCCTATCATACCAAAGTAGTGCATCTCCGGCACTCCATCCCATTGGTCAGCAGTGGTTCCGACTGTTGGCACGCAGGCGGCCGGGATGACACCACCATCGCCAAATGCTGCCAACATGCATACATTTAGAGCTCCAGGCGTTTCGCCGCCTGCAATGTTGTCATCGAAACCCAGGCCGGCAAACCTGGCAGCACGACAGTACAATGATGCAGATGGATTAAACTTAAACAACGTCGGCAATTTCGGCACGTCGCATCATGTGCTGCGAAGTCGAAGAGCAGCAAGTATGCTATTGAAATCCAGCTAGGTGTGTAAGGCAGATTTGGTGTTCCTCAAGACTTTGCGCACGACTGTGCAACGCAGCAAGCTGTAAGATTACGAGAGCGACAAGACGATGAGGGTCCCTAACTTGAACCTGCGCGCCTCAGCGGATCGCTCATGGTTCCAGTGAGCCGGAAGCCTTTTGCATTTGGTTCCAGCACTTGGGCACAGGATGCTGCGCCCAAATCATCTCGAATATTTTCACCTCGCGAGAGGATCGGGCATGGATCTGGCGATATGCTGCAACAATTGCATGAAATCCTGCTGATCACCTCTCAACCTGTCAGATGAGGCTCACATCTGAACGTCTTGTGCCCAAGATAGTCCCGCGAGCACCAGGAGCAACAGAAGCTGCATCAGCTGCGGAGATTGCCTAAGATGGGAGCAAGCGTACCACACAGGTTGAGCTGCCTCACTTCCAATGAGGCGCATCCGTTCTGACCGACAGCAAAACTCCCAAATATTATATACTGGCGACGCTGGTGGCATTCTGGACGCAACTCTGCGCAAGCTGCATTCTGGGGCCCAGGGACCTGAACTCACCTGGGCAGCAGCGCAATGCGCCACAACACTCAGAAACGCAAATCGCTGATGCTTCCAAGAAAGTGGCAAGTTCTGCTGTCCATGCGTTATTGCCGGTCTCTCGTGGACGCATTGGCAAGGCAGGCGGCGTAATCTCGGGCCAAAACTGCGAGTGAATCCGGCTGTGCCAGTGCGAGTGTGCCTTTATTCAGTCCCTGCGGGTGCCGGCTGTATAATGCCGTAGATCTTGCTGCCAGCTGGGCGTATTGGCTGGAGCTCGCAAGGCTAAGTCCAAAGCTCGTGCCGAGGGGATTCCCGCCGAGGCTCCTTTCACCAATTGCACAGGCGCAAAGAGGCGCAAAGGCTGGGCGCTGGCTGTCCTCGGGAGCCGGGCGCTTGGTGCCGGCCTTCGGAGTCCAAGAAAAGGCGGACAAAATGCGCTCTCTCCAGGCTTCGACTGGGCTTACGGTGCGGGTTGAGGCCGTGGCCTTCTCGGAGGGCGCTGCCTGTCAGGTCTTGTGAGATGTTGCGAGGAACTACAGGAACTGGAAGTTGATTGAACTACAAAACCCACAATCCTTTTCCATGCTCTTCAGCAGGCCTCCAATGCTGTCCCCAGCCGGGCTGTCGAGTTGTGTCTGCTGAGCAGCCTCACCGGTCGCTACCCCTTGCAAGATCACGGAAGTTTCGTTGTACTCATCGCTCAGGCAACTTCGCCGCCTCTGCGCCACGCCGACTGCAACTTTCTCTTGCCAGGCCTCCCAACAGCCAACAGCCAACGCCCTGATAAGCATGCGCTTTTGATGTCACCAGAATGCAGTCGCATGCCTTTGCCCGAGCAGCGACAGAGACCGGATCATTGTCGACGGCATCCTGGCAGGCTGGGGTGGTGATAGTGTGATCGATGTCCTGCAGGCGCTCGCAACTGCCATCTCAAAATGCCAGCTTTCCTGGCTCACGCTAAGCTTCGTTTCCAGCAAATCGGCGTTTGGTGCCGAGGATGCCGCATGCACCTGTTAAAGTGAGCAAGAGGCCGCCACGCAATGCTCGAGTCTGGGCATCTCTTCGCATCTTTGCGCCAAGTTGCGGCAAGGCTGCTGCCGATCCCCACGGCCTTCACCTCGGGGCCAGGAGTGTGCCGGTGTGGTTTAGCGAGCTCTCGCATAGCTTCCGGCCGTGAAGGAGTCTTCGTTCTGCCGAAACGGATGCATGTAGAAGAACCTGTGGGGTGAAGGCCGTTCTCGGGAAGCACTGGCTCTGGCTGAGCGGCAAAGTTCTGACCCAGCAAGAGCAGATCGCGCAGCGGAGCGAAGTGGAGCACATCCTGCTGGTAAGACCTTTGAGGTCTCCCAGAAGGGAGCTGCAAACGAGAAAAGCGGCTTCGGTCTTCGGGTCTTGGAATCTTACAAAGCTGGGCATCTCAGCCTTAGGCTGGATGCGAACTGCACGGATTCACGGCAGGAGCACAGCTGGTTCCCAGAGTGTTCACTTGCTCGTTTTCCCAACTAAGTCGCCTTCAGGCGGCTCAGTACCTGAAGATGCCGTCCTTCGGCAGGCCGGCACAGGCCAAATCTGCCATGGTGCTTGGCGAGAGCCTGGCCCAATGACGAGACCGTGCTGCGCAAGCAACACTTCCGGTTTGATCGCCTCTCCACCGCTCGTTGAGCAGCCTCTCGTACCTGAGTTCCAGAAGGGGGCACAAAGGCACTCAACCGTTGAAAGATGGGGGATGAAAGGCCACCCCCTTTGCCCTGCCTCGACACTGGGATCCAGCTTGCAGCGTAGCACCTGACATGAAAGGTCATCCGGATTTGGAAACGGACACTCGTGGCCAGCCTGCTCTGCCCACCGTTCCAGCTGGTCTGGCTTCAGATACCGCAAGGTCAACAGAGCAGCGGCTCGGACTTCTGCGTCTTCATCATGCAGACTTGGCACCAAGTGTGGAGCCTGTGGAGATCTGTGGCTTCAACTGCGGCAGTCTCAGATTGCCTTTGAAAGTGCCTCACTCTATATACTCACGAAACATGCAACAGCACAACACGCGCCTGAAAAGCCAGCTCGGCAGAGCCCAACCTTTGGAGGGCACACAGCGCGGCCAGCCGGACCTCCGCTATCGGATCTCTCAAGCTCTGAATCACGCGACGTGTGTGGTGTGCCCAGAGATCGGACGGAAGCCGTCTGAGCGCGACTAGTGCATCCGCACGCACAGCCACCTCCGAGTCCGTGAGAAGCCGAACCAGAGCCGTTCCCTGAAAATCACGTGTTGTAAATGCAAGGGCGTCCCTCACTTTCCAGTGATACCAACGGCTCTCTTTCGCCTCGTTCTTGGCAATCTCCCACAGGTCTGCCGGAGCATGCATGAAGGTTCCCTGCCAGTCAACTGGTTCAAGGTGTAAACCTTGTAACCTGCCATCCTCTTGTACCAGTATCTGGCGATGTCTGAGTGTATCGGGCGTGTCGAAGCCACACGCCGGTGGCGGAGGCCAAGAATCTTCGCCTTCGCATCGTTTTCGAGGATCTTGCATGAAAGCTGCGGGATGGGGAGGTGCTTGTGGCGGTGCGGGCATCGATCCAGATGCACAGAGGCACTTCCAAGCTTTGCCATTACGGAGAAACGACATCCGAGAATCTACTGGGGCATCCTTCAGGTTCTGCAAAACTGGGACCTCCAGTTTCTGTATGACTTCGCACGCTAGCCGTCTCACATCGGAGGCAGGGTCTGCGACCAGAGGCAACACTGCCTCTGCATACGGTGCGAGCTCAGGCCTTTCTAGGCCTAACAGATGCTGGAGCGCGTCGGCCCGAACTTCGCACGACGAATCGCCCAGTGCCGCGGCTACTTCTGCAACATGCGGATCGCGAAGCACTTCGTCTGCAAATGTCGCCATTGCCATGAAGAGATTACGTGTTAAAGCTGGGCTCCAATGAACTGCATCCCCTGTCATACTTATCTGTACACTACAACCTCAGCCTTTCTGGAACTCTTGCTTATGCTGGCTGCACTAGGTCTGAGCTAGCAAGGATGCATGAACGTAGTCAAGAAAGTACTGCCTGCATGATCTGCATCTTGACAAATAACAGCAGACGGCGAAAGGCAGGAAACGCAAATACTTGGTGGTGCAATAGCAACAACACATGTCACCACCCAACATACATGGGACGGTATCCTGTCTTTAGGCTGGGACGCATAGCTGTCTTCAAAGCTGTTCCAGCCAGGTGGTAATACTTGTAGGCTTGCGCTGCCTCGCTTCGGTTGAAAGCAAGAAGAGGCCTGTATGAAAAAATAGCCCTGGGAAAGTTCGTGGGCCAAGGGCGCTGAGACGGAGGCCATCGGCAGATGCCGTCATGACCTCAGGATCGTAGGATGCCCTAGCTTATCGTCGGCACTAAGAGTGGAAAGTATTTAGTATTCGAAAGCAAGCTGTGAGAGGTCTCAGATCATCGAGGCGGGTTTGGGGGCCGCATTGCACTGCGAGGCTTCGTCTTTCGAAGCTGCACTAGATCATAGTACAGCTTTCAATGTCCTTTTGAACTCCAGGCCAGTGTCGTCAATGTTATTTTGGGGGACCTGCGCATGGGCAAACGGCGCACGTTGGCGCAACCTACCCACGTGTCCCATGAATTTGGAAGATGCTGCAGTACTTGCTGAATGATTATAGCGCTTCGTCGCGGCAAGCTTTCAGCTGGACTGTGTGACCTGTTCGAGAAATTGTCTCGAGAAATCTAGGGAATGCGAGGATTTTTGTATCATGGACATGCCCGAAGTGCCAAAAAATTGTACACACAGGCATCCTAAAGCTTCTGTCCAAATTGACCAGGATGGTCCGCTCTTTCATGCTACATGCAAGCGCTGTTGCATTATGATGATGCGTTGCTTGCTGTCAGCATCCCCTTATTTGTTAACCACTTGGACGATGTCCATGTGCAGGCCCAACACAGGCATCAGCACTCCGAAGATGGGTCAGGCACGGGTTGCGCGGAGCTGCTCGGCTCGGAGGTTCCGACGCACACGAAGCCGTGCCTGAAGCAGGAACAGCGCGAGACAAAAGCAAAGCCACTTGCGCAAAAGATCCGGGGCCCGAACTCGAGCATTGTGCTATGTACAGCCAGGGCAGCCCTGTCCATTTCACCACGCACTGGCCTCACCAGGGCTCCAAGATGCTCCAAGCTGCTGGAATTCCGACTCTGAGGCCCAAGCACATGGCTCAGCAAGACCTGCAGCATGGTATTCTCCAGGTGCCTGCACCGCAAGACTTGCTATGTTCAAACCTCCTAGTGGTTTGCATGTCCTTGCTTAACAAAGCACACGAAGGCCTGCACAGAATAAACGTGAAATCCCGATGTGGCACGAATTATGGCGACGGTCCGCCGCATGTTTCTCGCCTCAAGTTTAAATCGAGCCCAGCGCACAGACACATTCCGCTGCAGCAACCTTCGCTCTTCAAGAAAACGTTTGTGCTGGAACAAGAGGGGACTGCAGCAACAAGGAGAGCGTTTCTCCTGGTCGTCACGACACTTGATAAACCACAGTTCTCTCTTCCTGCGCATGTCTGGGAAGCTGTAATGTCAACCAACTGCTTTAAACCGACCCGACTCATGAGTGGAAGGGCCCAGGGGCCCACATGCTTCTTTCATCTCTCGCAAGGCAGGAGGTGGTAAAAGGCACCTCGAAAATCACAGGGCCGCTCGGCCTGCTGCGCAGCTCTCAAGCTGAAAGACACTGTACATTTAGATTTTACTTGTGAAAATGTTCTTGGCTGCACACGAAATTGGCTCTCCAATCAAAGAGCTGTGGCACTGTACAGCTGAGCCACGGTCACTCGTCTGAATGCCTTGGATTCAGTCCATGCAGAAGCAAAGTCAAGCAGGCAACGTTGCTTAGATTCTCCTAGGGCATAGTCAGGCGACGGCTAGAGTTCATTCGATGGTCCCGCACGAAAGTCGACCTTCTGCAGGGCACATCTATAGCTCTCGTGATGGAAGGGAACAGCGGAATCCAAGTGCCAAACGGATGGAAGGGGTCCTGCCACCCCGGGCAGAGCTCTCCAACCATCCGAGGGAACTTTCTCAGCAGAGGCCTGCAGTGCCATCGCATGCATGAGTCATGAGTGGTAGTTGCTAACTGGCATGACAATATTGCAAGAAGAAGAATGTATAAGACAACAGTTCCCGGCGCAATGCAAGAGGAAGCAGAATGTGGTGAAGCGGAGGTTACACAGGAGTCTACGATACTACTGGTTGTTAACGCTCACATGTTAAGACAAGGGTTCTCTTGAGTCTCTTGCACCACGGCCGACAAAACAACGAGTGAAAGGTCAGGCGGCTCGCGCCTTTGCTATATACACACCCTTGCCATCGGGAGCATCAATCCACCGTTGAGAGAGATCACTTGGCCATCGTCTTTAGTGCACTCAAACATGCACTTGACGGCAGAAACTGCGCAGAAGTCTGCAGCTGAAAGCACAAGCACGCGATGCAATGAACTGCAAACACATGCAAGACACCATTGGCCATCGCCACGGTTCCAATAGATATATGCACCTCAGGGCAGTTCTTGAATGAGGTCATTTTCCACTGCTAGGGTTGTCTGAGGCATTTTGAGGCCATCTCCATTGTCGGCCTCATACCAGGGAGTCTTTTGATCACTCAGCTGGAGCCACCTTACGAAAGATTGCATGAAATCTCCAACTTCTTGTTGCATGTTGATGCACTTCATCCTCACCTTGGCTAGGATCAGGGCATCTTCTCAGCATCCCAGCGCTGTTCGGCGCATGTCAAGCTGAACCCCACTGGGATAACCTCCAGCGGACAGAACCGTCGCGAATAACCCTGACAACCCCAGCTCACACACCCAACGGAAAGCACCTGCAGGTCTAGACCGGCCCACGCATAATTTTCAAGCAGACTCAGACTCATTGTCAGAGCATGCATCAACCGTCTTCATTCATGCAAAACCTTGCTTGCCCTCCGGTTCTCGCGATGTGCCCCGACTGTCTTTTCAGGCTCTTTGTTTGAGACTCGACGGATCCTAAATTACGACCTTCTTCCAGACCTGAACACTTCAACTGCATACCGAAGTCACCATC